CCCCCTTCTCATGCTCTCTCTCTCTATCTCATTCTCTCTCTCAAATAAATAAACAAAAAATCTTAAAAAAAAAAAAAGAACTAAAGGACACCAGAACCTGCTAGGGTGTGATTGTCTCCCCTGCCCCCACCCTACCAGGGAATGCCACAGAAGGGAATGAAGGGTTTCTGGCATCTCTGTAAAGTCCTGCATGCCATCCTCCTGGTCCAGCCTTGGAGTTGTAGTAAGCCCCATAGGCACTTGCTCCCCAGGCTGCTAATAGCCATCTCTTTCAGGACTCTGAATGGGCTGGGCATCTTGGTGTGCTCCATGGATGGCTCTGTGGCATTCCTAGATTTCTCCCAGGATGAGCTCGGAGACCCCTTGAGTGAGGAGGAGAAGGTAAGAGAACAGTACACCTTCAGCTAGTGGCCTGAGTGCTGCACTTGCTATCGGGCCATGGAAATAGCCACCACCGCTCTGACAGACCCCTTCGATTGGACCCTCCTCTTAGGATATACACAGACACATTGTTTCTTAAAGTATTATTGGGTATTTGTCTTTATAGCTCATAATGCTTATCTTCTTTACAAAGTAGATTAAAGATGAGACTCTTATTCATGTCAGAAATCAGTTCTGGAATTAAGAATAAAACAAGTTGGGCATCTTTTCTTGAGCTTATAACTAGCCACACACCGGAAGGTTTTCACCCTGGGAGATAGTGAGAGTGACTCCCAAGGGTCCCTGCTCATGTCACTTTCCTTGTCTTGTAGAGACATAGTTGCCACGGAGCAGCAACTATAACAGTAATACTGGTCATTTCTTAGGACTTACTGCATGCCAGACTCTGGGCCATGCATTTTGCATATATTATTTCATATGAATTATACAAAACCCTTCAAGCAGGGCTCATTCATTTTATCAATGAGGTAACTAAGCCTCGGAAAATAGTGTGGCTCTTTGCAGAGACCGTACATGACCCTTAGGTATGAGAACAGAACCATGAGCCATGCCCATAGGCCTCCCCACTGTGCTTTGCCCAGGACAGGGTGGCCCATGTGCTCTTCTTCAAGGACTTTGGGAAAGGTCCTGCTTAATGGACCGTAGACTGAGAAAGCAGACATTTCTATACATGGGCCTTTGATGACACTTAGTGAAATGTGTTTGTCTGAAAGAAGCCTTATGAAAGCCCAGAGGAGGTGGGCAGCTCTCCCCTTCAAGGTGCAACTACTGGTAGAGGCTCCCTCATAAGCTACTGTGTGGACCTCCCACAATGATGTAAACCCCTTGGGGATAGGGGTCTGCCTTCTTGACATACCTAGAATGGCCTGGTTCCCTAGGAATCACTGGTCAGTGAAGGGATGAGTATCTCAGTGGCCTCAGGTCTTCTTTCTACCCTGTCACTGTTGTCAGGTATCCTGGGATTGCTGTGCACTCCCCTCCCTCTTGTTGAGTCCTGGTTCGTCGGGGGGAGCCCTACAGAATAATACTGTCTAGCTTACCATTTCCCAGATGGCAGGCAGGGATCCCATGTTTAAGAAACATAGGTAAACATCTGCCAAACTCTGAATTCTGCCTCCAGATTTCAGGGAGGGATTGAGGGGAGAAGGGACAGGTAACAACGGAGGGAGGTTCCTGGCCACATACAGCACACCAGGCCCTGCAGAAATGGGTCCCAGGGCATCACCTCCCCCTCCCCAGTATCCTCTGCTCTGAGGCATATGTCCTGTTGGCCTCAGTTGGTCATTAGCACATCCTTGTATGAATCTGCTTCTCATCACACCGGTCACTCTGATGTGCTGTGGACACTGTCCCTGCCCACTTGGGGTCCTATCTGGTTTGTTGTCGCATGGGACTAGTGAGACCTGGGAAGGTGGAGGGAGGGGCCCTGCTCAGAAGCGTCAGGACATGTTAGGGAACAGCAGGGGCAGAGAAAGATTTCCCTAAGTCTGTTGTGCCAGGCCTTCCCTTACTCTAAGACACTGTTAGCAGCCTCACATCAACTTCCAACCACATGGGGCTGACAACTGCAGACAAGAACAGGGAAAGGAAGCTCTGGATTTTAGCATCTGATTCCCCAAAAAGTGTTTGGGGTCCTTGGAGTGATTTAAGAACCTTACATTAGCAATTTGAGTGTCTTAATTTCAGTTCAGCAAATGTTTATTGCCATTCATTCTGCACCAGACCACGTGGTAGGTGTTTCATCAGTTACTCATTCACTTTCATCCCTGGTTCTAGATACACAAGAGGTTCTAAACATCTAGAGAGGGTGTAAGACTTCTCCAGAGTCATCTAGTCAGCCACAGGCAGAAAAGTGTGGGAGGCGAGGGCAAGCTGGCACCCAGGGCCCTGGGACCACTGCCCAGGACCCTTTCCACTCTCAGAATCAGGAGAGCCAAGATGCAGCTCGCCCACACTAGTGGGCACTAGCCACCACTTTGCTGCTCACAACTGGTCTGTTGCACTTCTCTCTGCTTCCCATAGAGCCGCATTCACCAGTCCACATATGGCAAGAGCTTGGCCATCATGACTGAGGCCCAGCTCTCCACAGCCGTCATTGAAAACCCAGAGATGCTCAAATACCAACGCAGGCAGCAACAACAGCAGCTGGATCAGAAGAGTGCCTCGGCCAGAGAGACAAGCTCAGCTGCCTCAGTTGCTGGTGTCGTCAATGGGGAAAGTCTGGAAGACATTAGGAAGGTGAGGGCTCGGCCCCATAGCACTGAGGACTTGGGTACATACCCAGGGACAGGGCAAGGGGAGCATGCAGTCTGTTGAACAGAGTACAGACACAAGTGGTAGGGAGGCAAGTGTATGCTGTGCCTAGAACAGGACCCGGGGTGAGCCAGCTTGGGGCTACTTGGCCCTATTGCCATCAGCTGCATGAGGTAGTAATGGAGCCTAAGGCAGTTTATCAAAAGCCTCTTTGTCCCAAGGAGCTCTGGAGGAGGTCATCTCTTGTGGGAACTTCCAGACCTCACTTTTAGCCTTTCTAGGAAATTCTCGACACTGAGAACAGTAGGTTTCAGATTCTGACCTTAGGAGATGTCTGTGGGCTCCCCGCTTCTTCCTCTGGAAGCCCATGTCTCACTGTGGACATGGGGCAGGAACAGAGCAGGAAATGTCAGGATCACCTGGGGAGCTTAGATCACCTGGGGAGCTTAAACCACCTCCAGGAGCTTGTGCAGGGTAACAAACCTCCCCAGGTAATTGAGACACAATGTGTGACTGGAAACCTTTGATTATATGAGCCTTCAGTGGAAGAAATGACTCTGATGAGAGAATGTCTGGAGATCACAGCTTAGAGACAAGAGTGGCTTGCAGATGCAGGTTTCCTTCATTCTTTCCTTCAGTAAGCCCCATGGCTGCTGGGCAGGAGTGGCCAAACAGCGCGTGCTCACTGCCCAGGAAACCTGGCCGGGCCTGCAGTACTGGTGATGGAGAGCAAGGTGCTGCAGCCGGTTCAGCTGGGAGCTTTCTGTCCTTGCTGCTTTATTGTGCAGGAAGTTGAACACCCACCTGACAAAAATGTTTGGTTTTTGATTCAGTGGCTTAGTTTAGTTGGACCAGAAAGGCCATAGAAAGGGAAGTTAAAATTCATTTCCTTGGAAGCCTTATTTTTTGATATGTAGAAATATTTGGCAGAAACTTTTCTATTCATATATGTCACTCTACTTTGCCAGAATCTTTTGAAGAAACAAGTTGAGACTCGGACAGCAGATGGTCGCAGAAGAATCACGCCTCTCTGCATAGCACAGCTGGACACCGGGTACTTGTTCACTCAACGAGCTTTCTGTGGCCTTATCTGGGGAGGTCTTCCTCTCTCCTTTCACCAGTTAGCACTTTCATAATCAGGGTCTTCACAGGCTCTTGGGCCAATCTGACCCATAGAATCTGCAAATGGGGGCGTTGAGCCCGGCTCCCACCAGCCTCAAAGCCCTGTGGTTCCTACAGAGCCCTTATGCACATTTGACTCATGCAGAAGGTGGGCAGGGAGGAGCCCGTGACAAGCCAGAGGGCGAGGGCGCCTTCACAGGGCCAGTGTGTCCACATGGCCAGCTCTGCTTCATTGTTGGTGGGGCATTGAAGACACCAGGGAGAGAAGTCGGACTGATTTTTTTCTGTTTCATTTTTCCCTTTTATACCCTTCTATATAGACACTGTTGAATAGTAAAAACCCAAAGAAGGACATAAACATTACCCGTAATCCAGTCTCTGAGATATAATTACTGTTAACATTTTGGCATCTGTATCTCTGGTCCTTTTTTCCCCACTTGTTCCTGTATCTTGACCTTGCATCCTTTTTAATAAATAGTCCTCTGAAGCATTGGCTTGCTGATTGTCCAGGTTCCCAGGCTGTGAATGCACCATGATTTACTTGACCAGCCCCTAAACTGTGGACTTGTAGTTTGTGTCCAGTGTTTTGTGATTGTAAATGAATCTTTGAGCACAACTGTGACTGTTACTTCAGGATACTTCCCAGAAGTGGAATTGCTGGACAGAGAATAGGGCTCTACGGCACATTTCCTTGAGGGGGCAAAGAAGGGGGAAAGTGGACTCAGTCACCATTTGCTGTGTAGCATCTGTAGTCAGGCTTGCTTTTATATTGGTCATTCTCCCCAAAACAGTGTATGTTGATTCAAAGGATGATAAGGCCCTGCATGAAAGAAATAGACCCCCACTGTCAAGGTGATTCATTCTGGTTTTATACTCATTCAACTAGTCTGCTCAGGGCACCACACACACAGTAGTCCTTTGCACTTTGCACTTGTTCGTCCATGAGCTGTCCTAAATCTTCCTTGAAGTCTGAAGAGACCTTCAGTCATATGATATGCTGATCTGACCTCCTCATGTTAGAGTGTGCAGGTTCTGAGGCCCTGGAGGGCAGAGACCTCACCAGATGGAGCCAGAACCAGGTCTTACTCCCCCAGAAGAGTGGTTTTCCCTTGATCAAGTCTTTTTCCCATTATTAACCTAGTGCGTAATGCCATATGTTTACTTTTTATTAGGACCAAATGAGACAGGTATGTGACTGAGCTTTGAACACTGAAGGGCTTGTGGGAGTGAGGGTCCTGGAGGTGGTGGGGATGGTGGCACTTTTCTTCTATGGATCCTTTCAGGCCTTACTTGATGAGGAGACAGAGGTGGTAGGTGGCTTTCTACCTGGCCTTAAACCAACTTTCTGCCACAGGGCACATATTTCTGGCACCAGAACTTGATTCTTTTGGTCTTAAAGGCTGTTTTGCCCTCTTGGTTCCCATGTTAAAACGAATAGCAACAGAATAGGTAATGATTAGCTTAGCTAATCAAGCAAGAAAAGAAAAAGCGCAAGTATTTTAAATGGAAATAATCACAGATAAAGAATGAATCAAAAGTTTGAAGGACTTCTGTACTGAATTCTGTGCAAATAAATTTGAAAGTAGATGATTTTGAAGAAAATAAAATTATAAAAACTGAAGAATCTATACAACTAAATTATTATAGAAGAAATAGAAGATGCTATCACAGAGCTAATCTACCAAAAGCCACCAGACTAAGAAGGTATCACAGGGAAATTCTAATAAAGTTTTCATTCTAATCATTCTAATGATTAGAGGGACAGATCATTCTAATACTATTAAAAATACTCCAGTGCATAGAAAAAGAAGGAAAATTTGCAAAACCTTTTTTGAAATGAGCATAATATTTACACCAAAAACATGACAAAGATAGAACATAATAAATGCCTGATCAATCTCATTTCTGAATGTCAGTGCAAAGATGTTAAAGAAAATAGTAACAGAAACTTATAGTGTGTTACATTGCTAATACACTATGACCAAGTAAGGTTTACAGGGAAGCAAGGTGGTTCAAATTTTGGGAAACTTAATTTGCTTCTACATGTCAAAAGATCAAAAGAAATATATGATCATCTCCACAAATGCCTAAGAGACATTTTTACTAAATTCAACATTGTTCTGATTTAAAATTTAGTTAAATATGAATAGATGGATACTTCCTTAATTTGATAAAAACTCTCCCTTATTTTAAAGTAAATTCAAAAACTAAACAAGTGTCCACTCTTGCTGATTATACTTTAACATAGTTCTGGAGGTCCTAGCTCATACAGTTAGTCAAGAGAAAGAATAAATTGGAAAGGAGGTGGTAAAATGTATCATTATTTAAAGATGGTATGATCTACAAGAGAATCAACTGGGAAAACTGCCATAGATAATAAAAGAAGACAATAAAATGACTGGATACAACCGATCAAGTAGCAGCAACTACCTTTAGAAGATATAAAGGAAGAAATCACTTTCACAAATGCAATACCTAGAATGTAACAAAAAAATGTAGATCCTTATGAAGAAAAAATTTAAGACTGAGAGAACTAAAAGAAAATTCAAAGAAATAACTAGAAATGCATACCATTTATTCCCTAGGGTGACTCAACATCATAAGATGATCGATCTCTCTCAACATGAGCCCATACAAATAACTAACAGGAGTTTTCAGAATTAGGCTGATTCTAAATTTATGTGGAAAAATAAGTAAGAATAGCTGAAATATTTCTGAAAAGGAAAATCAGAGAATACTAGCTCCACCAGAAATTAAAACTTATAAACTATAATAAAATGGATACTAACACACGAATAGAGTAATAGACTACAATGGAAAACACAAAAGTAAACCCAAATATTTATGGGAATTTTAAAGGTAGCATTTTGCATCAGTGATGAAACATCAGCTAATCTAATAAATGAGAGTCAGGACTACCTACCCTCTAGAAACAAAGTTACCTCACAACTTAAAATTAGATAGATTCTGAACAGCTCAGAGATTTTTTTTTTCTTAATGTTTAGCTTTTTTGTTTAAAATTTTAGAAGATTCCCTAAAAGAATATTTTTATGATCTCAGGGGTTAAAAAAAAAAGTCATTTTTAAAAATGGCATAAAATTTAGACCACACAAAAATAACGTTTTGGGGGCAAGTAAAATTGCACCATAAAAAGTCGCTCATGCTCCATGATGGTTGTAAATATTACTTAAAAATAAGATCTTAAAAAAAAAAAATCCTAGGGAAAATACTTCTTGCTCATATAGGGAATTTTTTAGTATGTTAAATAGGTCTTGCAATCAATAATAAAGACCAGTAACCAGATAGAACAAAATACAAAGGATATAAACAGTTCACCAAAAAAGGAAATCAGGTGCTTCTATATGAAAAAATTTCAATCTCACATCAAAATAATTGCAAATTAAAACTACAGTAAGGTACTGTTTTTCATCAGATTGTCAAGTTATCAAATTGGTAAGACTTGGTGGGAGTTTGGGGAAATAAGCACTCTCATACACAGCTGGAATTTAAACCTCCAAGGAGGGCACTTTAGAACTATTAATCAGAACTCATTAATGAACATTCTATCTGCTGCTGCAATTCCACTTCTAGGAATTTATCCCATGTAATATGTGAAACAACTAATGCAATGACGATTATGATAGGGAGCATCTTTGAGCAGCTACTGTGTGTTCTAAATGTGTGCTACACTGACCACATTAGTCCTGACCTCATGGGGAGGGTCCTGTCACTTTCTGTTTTGCAGATAGGAATCTGAAGCACAGAGTGGTTGAAGTGCCCAAGGTCCCAGCGCTTGTGTATGGCAAAGGAGTGAGACCTGGCTGGATTGACCCAGGGCCCTTAGCCTTAGCACTGCAGTATCTTGCCTCCTGCTACAGCAGTGTCTGTTACAGAAAAAGCTGGGAGACAGCCCTGGCATTCCTCAGTAGAGGCTGGTTAGGTAAATTATGGTATATCCATACAGCCCATAATGAAAGGGAGTTTTACTCCGTATGCTGCATTTCATGACTTCTGAGACACATGTTGCACATTTTAGCATCTCTGAAGTCGGTACATTTTATAATCAGTGGCATCTAACAATTACATTTGGTAGTAATTTTTTCTTTCTTAGTGGTACATAAAGTACCAGTTCATCTTAGATTCAATTACACATAGTGTACGACATAATTTTAGTTTTCTTTTTACTTTTCTGTAACTTTGCACATTTTCTTCCACAAAAAGACTTCATCTTTGGACCCAGAAAAAAATTACTTCAAACATAGAAAGTACTTGATGTGGTGTCTAATTTCTCAGGCTGATTTCCCAGGCTGATTTTTGTTCTTGACAACAGGGACTTCTCCACGGCATTCTTTAACAGCATCCCACTCTCGGGCTCCCTGGCGGGCACCATGCTCTCCTCTCATAGCAATCCACAGCTACTGCCCCTGGACTCCAATACCCCCAACTCCTTTGGCGCCTCGAAGCCCTCCACAGAGCCTGTGGCTACAACTGGCGCCAGGCCGGCTGGTGATACTGTCAGTAAGGACAGGTGAGTGGGCATGCCAAGGCTTGCTCCTGTCCCTGGGGAAAGTTCAGGTTTGGACACAGCTCCACTGACACTTCATGGCTTCTTCAATAAAAAAAGAAAGAGATGCTTGATTTTTTTATGAGGGCCTGCTTGGGAGGGGGACCTTGTTCAGGTGAGTCTCTTGATACACAGGACCATAAGGACTTCACCTCCTGGGGCAAGATGCAGGCCCAAGATGTGCTCCTAAAGGTGGGAACCGGCCAGGGATACATCGCCGGCCGCAGGGTCAGCCCCACCTCTCAGCAGGTCTGCACTGGAAGTGGCTTAGTCCCCCACTGCACAGTCAGGAGCATTGCCACACCAGTTATCTCAGGAAGGGTATCTGGGGAAGGACAGACAGCTCCAGATCTGTGAGACATTTTAACAGTTGGCCCTGCAGATCCTGGGAGAGGAGGAGGGGGCTCCCAGATGCCTGTCAGATGTCTGGTATGGGGTCCAGGCAGGTGGATGTGGTCAGTAGGAGGCTCCATGGCTTTGGGACTCAGCATGTGTGATGTGCTTGGGCATGGGGGAAAGTTTACAGGCTCAAGCCTAGGCCTCTCCTGTGGAAAAGACAAGGGCTATGGGGTGTGCACTTGGAGGAGAGTATGAAGAATGCATAATTGCCAAGGTAAGATGAGAGGGGCCACCCAGGCCACAGTGTGTTTGGCCAAGGATGAAGGCCAGGGATAGACCGTGGCTTCAGGACTCTGGGTGGGGACTTCTTTCATCAGACCATTTGTTGAAGCAGGAAAAGCTGGTGGTTTGGGGTGGAGATGCTGTATTCAGGTTGTGGAGATATGGCTGTATGGTGAGAAAAAAGGGTTGTAAGAGCCACTTTCTAGGCCTCATGCTACCCCAGAAGCTCTCAGAACAATGCAGTGGGGCAAATGTGAGTGCATTTGCTCATGACCTTCTTAGATAGCCAGACTTCAGATTTTAACACATGAAAGTATTAAAAGAAATAGCAGTATTAGATTACATCTTGAAATTGGGTTTATATAACTTTGGTATTTGTGCCCCTTTTAGTTGGCTCCAAGTAACACAAGTCTAGGACCCCTAAATGCTTGATGGATTGTGCTTGACGTGCTCTCCCATCTTTTTACCCCCCGCCCACCCCCAGTGTGAATGCTACCTCTACTCCTGCTGCATCGTCACCCTCTGTGTTAACGACCCCGTCCAAGATTGAACCCATGAAAGCATTTGACTCCAGATTCACGGAGCGGTCCAAAGCCACGCCAGGTGCTCCTGCCTTGACCAGTGTGACTCCAACAGCTGTGGAAAGGTAGGTGGTGGCTATGTGGGGCCCCGAGAGACCAGGGAGGGTATAAGCTCAGCCAGCAGTGCAGTGTCTGCTTTCCCTCCCAGCAGCTTGCCTTCCCATGCAGGAGCAGACTCTGGTCCCTCTGTACTCGGGAGCCTGTGGGTCCAAGGAGAAAGGAGCAGCTTCTTCAAGTGGGAAGATGGTTGGAAGGAGCCATGGGGGCCATGGAACAGGCATAAAGGACAATGAAGGCAATGACACCAGGGCTGGTCAGTGCAGAGGCTATGCTGAGAATCAGGTGGTCATTTGAATAGAGCCCAGAGTGCCCAGAAGAGGAGCGGGAGATTGGCTCTGATACTGTTGCACCATGAAAGTAATGGCCCGCTCAGACACTGACCAGGCATTTGGGAGCTTGAGATAAAAGTGATAGAGGAGAGGTTTTTTTTGTTTGTTTTAAAGGTTTTATTTATTTATTTGACAGAGAGAGACACAGCGAGAGAGGGAACACAAGCAGGGGGAGTGGGCGAGGGAGAAACAGGCTTCCCGCGGAGCAGGGAGCTGGATGCAGGGCTCGATCCCAGGACCCTGGGATCATGACCTGAGCAGAAGGCAGATGCTTAACAACTGAGCGACCCAGGTGCCCCTAGAGGAGAGGTTTTTATAAAATTAGGCTTCTGAGCTCTTCCAGGCTCTATGCCACTCGCCCGTTCTCTGCACCTCCCTTAGCACACAGCAACCAAGCCATGTGGGATGTAGTCTGTTTCTTGGAATTGTAGGAGTCCTCTTGAGGTGGCTTTGGGACTCAGCATGTGTGTTTGTTGGCACAGAACTTTTCTGATTCCTGGGGAGCATATCCCCACCCCCACGACTATGAATCCACCACAACACAGAGCTCATTGCATAGCCAGTGAGGTGGGGGCTGAGGGAGTTAGAGGTGGGCTGGGCCAGCTTCCTACAGAGGGTCCAAGGGCTTAAGTGATGTCCTCTTGGGGTTATACTCCACCTTGAGGCCATAGGGGCTCAGCAGCCCTTTGCCACTATCAGCCGAATTCAGGGACATTGGTCATAGACTCTTGCAGTAGCCACACAACCAGCAGGTGCTTAATGAAAGGAGCATTTGTGATGAGACTTGACCTTGCAGTAGATGATGTCTTGGAGCTAAAGCTGTAGTACCTGTCCCCAGGACTTGACTCATCTCAAAATTGCTTATCTGATCAGGATTTATTCTCCTTGGAGAACAGCCTCTGGAAACCAGCATGGGAGGACTCTCCCTTCAAGTCAGCTGCTGCATCTATGACCTTGGTGCAGGACCTCATATTCTACTCTGTAGTGTGATCACGCCTATTTTCGTATACAGATCTTCAATGTGATCTCTTTATCTAGCAGTTCCTCTGTCCAGCAGTATGGAGGATCTGAAAACCTTCCTGCTGCTTAGTACTCTGAAATGGTGGATGAACTGCAGTATATATCCTTAAAACATGTAACCAGTTCATGAGAAAGTAAGGGAAGTCCCCAGGAGCCAAAATCTAAGGGTGGTAAACAAAACAACCAGAGCAGTGGGCAGCACCACACTGTGGGTGTTGGGCTGGGGGTTACTGACACGGTGGGTGACCTTGAGTTTTAATGGCCACACAGATTCAAGACAGGGCCTTGGACCTGAGCCATGTAGGGGTTTAGAACTAAGATACTACCATTAAGTCAAGCTGCTTGAGAAAGTACACCTCCAGTGAGGGAGAGGACAGAAAAAACCTGAAGGGCAGCATGAGAACATGGCCAAAAAGTTGAAATGTCTCAGCCAGTTAGGGTTAGGAAAACAGACTGTATATCCATAGACCTGCCCTCCTGTGGACTGGGGATGTTTAACGCTACCCAGGTCATCTGGAAACCAAGCGAAGAAATGAACACAAAAGGAGATTTTGGCCTAATTAACACCCAGAGGCACTTGGCGAAACTGATGCAAACTCCCCCTGCCAGCGACATTTCCCTGACCCCCCAAGATGTACTGCATTCCCACTGATGAAGCACAGCCAAAAAGGGACTCAAAATCCAAAGGAACAAAACACATGAAGAAACAGTGCATTCCACACAAATGTCAGGAGAAATAATGAGCAGGTTAGACCTTTTCATAAATTTGATCATATATCAGAGAATTGCCAGATAAAGACAGATAAATAAATACGCTTAAATAATCAAAGACATGAGAGATAAAACAGGAAGTGTGAGGAAAGGCTAATTTACCATCCCTTATACAAAAATTAACCCAAAGATGGATCAAAGAACTAAATGTAAGAGCTAAAACTTTAAAACTCAGAAGAAAACAGATGTAGATATATATGACCCTGGATTAGGAAACTGTTTCTTAGATATACCTAAAGCACAAGCAACTAAAGAACTAAACAACTAAAACCAACTAAAAGATTTAGGATCCAAAATGTATAAAGAACTTAAAATTCAACAATAGAATTAGTTAGAATAACCCAATTTAAAAATGAACAAAGGATTTGAATAGAAATTTCTCCAAAAATATACAGATGACCAATAAGCACATAAAAAGACTCTCAATGTCTTTAGTCATCAGGGAAATGCAAATCAGAAATCACAATGAGATACCACTAGGATGGCTATAATCAGAAAGTCATAATAAGAAGTGTTGGTGAGGGGGCGCCTGGGTGGCCAGTCAGTTAAGCGTCTGCCTTCGGCTCAGGTCATGATCCCAGAGTCGGGATAGAGCCCCACATTGGGCTCCCTGCTCAGCAGGGAGCCTGCTTCTCCCTCTCCTTCTGCCTGCCACTCCCCATGCTGTGCTCTCTCTCTCCCTGTCAAATAAATAAATAAATCTTAAAAATTAATATATTAAGAAGTGTTGGTGAGGATGGGAAGAAATCAGAACCCTCATAAATTGCTGGTGGGATTATAAAAGGGTTCAACTGCTTTAGAACACAATCTAGCAGTTTCTGAAATATAAAATAGAGTTATAAACATACAGTTACCATATGACCCAACAATTTCATACCTACATATATACCCAAGAGAACTGAAAACATATATTCATGTAAAAATTTGTACACAAATGTTCAATCAGTATTACTCATAATAACCACAAAGTAGAAACAACCCAAATGTCTATCAGCTGATGAATGGATAAACAAAATGTGGTATACCCATTCAATATATTATTTGGCAATAAAAAGTAGTAGAGTACTTATACGTGCTGCCACACATGCAAGCTTTGAAAACATGCTAAATGAAGGGAGCCAGTCACAAAGGACCACATGTTGTTTGATTCCACTGATAATGAAATGTCCAGAATAGACAAATTTACAGAGACAGAAAGTAGGTTAGTGGTTGCCAGGGATGAGGGGAGGGAAGGTTGGGATGATTGCTAGTGGATACAGAGTTTCTTTTTGGGATTATGAAAATGCACTGGTGTTAGATAGTGGTGGTGGTTGCATAACCTTACAAATAACTAAAAACTACTGAATTTTATACTTTAAAATGATGAATTTTGTGGTATGTGAATTATGGCTCAAAAGGAATAATGCACCATCAAGAAAGACCAGATAGATTTGGAAATAAACTAAAATTACATACATACATTTATTTATTTATTATTTTTTAGAGAGGAAATGGGGAGAGGGAGAATCTTAAGCAGGCTCCACGCTAGGCATGGAGCCCGACGCAGGGCTCAATCTCACAACCCTGAGATCATGACCTGAGCTGAAATCAAAGAGTTGGACACTTAACTGACTGAGCCACCCAGGCGTCCCTCAAAAATTACTTTTAAAAAAGAAAAATAAAAATCATTGCAATTGAAAAGAGACAGAACAGAGAACATTAGAAACAGCAGATAAGACCAGCTGAACAGAGCATTACATCTGAGGAACTGGCTGATGCAGAGGTGAGGAAGTGAAACTTAAGGAGGAGAGGCTAGAGATAAGAGGGCAGACAGTAAGGACAATGTGTACCTAGCAAGCGTTCCCCCAAAGAGGGCACGCTGTGGGGTACTTGTCAAGAGGAAGTAGCTGATATTTTACAGGCTTAACTCAAATGTTGAAACCTCAGTTTGGAAATGGAGTGAGTTCTGAACAGAATAAGGAAAACTAAACCCCCACCTTACAGAAACTAAGAGCACCGTAGACAGAAATTTCTTTTTTGTTGTTGTTGAGGAAGGCACCCCACGTTTGTCTAATAGGTTTCCATGACCTTTGTCATACTGTTTTCTGTCTCTTGGGGAATACAAACCCTGATTGGGGAAGCACATGGAATACCCCTTGAATTAGGCTGCTAGAAAGGAAAGTCTTGACAGCATGATCTGGTGCCACCATGATTGGCCCCTCAGCAGCTGTGTCCCTAAGGTCACACAGGACCTTTCAGCCTCACTTACAGCTCCAGGAACGACTATAAAATAAGGGAGCATCAAGTTTGTCATTCACTTGAAATTGGCAGTGAGTGAGCATTCACTTAGGGCTGATTTTCCTGCCTCTAAGCAGTTAGGAGCATTTGGTGAGACTCCCAAGAGCCTGGTGCTAAATTCTAAGGAGTTACGTTTAGATCCTCATATGAGGAAAATAGAATAAAATAAAGCACATTATCTTTAATAAAAGCTTTACAGAAAATGCAACTTTTTTTTTTAAAGATTTTATTTATTTGACAGAGCAAGTGAGCGAGCACAAGCAGAGGGAGAGGGAGAAGCAGGCTCCCCACCTAGCAGGGAACCCACTGCAGGGCTCAATCCCACTGAGCCAAAGGCAGTCGCTTAACCGACTGAGCCACCCAGGTGCCAAAAAGCTGCCAAAATGCAGCTTTCTTGATATGGCTGTTTCTTGTAACCCTTTAAATCACCCATCAGTGGAGGTCTTCCTTTGGGGGCACAGTGTCATGCATAGTTAGGAGCAGCACTCAGAACCATACACGTTAAGTCCTAACCCCCCACTTTATGGTGGGGTGATCTTAAGACACACAGTCTTTCTCAGCCCATCTCCCCCCTAGGCAGAATGGCTCTCTGAGGAGCACCTGACTCA